GCTGGATGGTCAGGTATTGTATTATTTAGAATATTCAGATCAGTTAACGTTACATCTCATTTCCAGTTCTATTGCTTCTGTCTTCAGCAACACACCAGTCCGATCAGAAATCACATATGGCACAGGGGACAATCTATTAATATTGAATTTCTTTTACDATTTATATGGATAGCTTTCCTGAATGCAATGTCAAATTTACAGTATGCTTTTACAGAGCAAATGGCTGAGAATTCCTTTTATTAATACACTAAAACCCTTGAAAACTCTGAGAAAATTTCAATATGTATATCATATTATTATAATAAGTAAATTTATATGTACGATTATATCTTAATAATACTGTAATATATAATAATAATTTGAAAATAAATGAGGTCTCTCATTCAATATTACAACTGTTATTTTTATGGAATCTTGAGGCTTTTTAAGCATGATTTTTAGTAACTAGAAAACATATAGTATTTTCCAACTCATAAACTATCTATTGTAAATTGTTATATTGTTATTATTGTTATGAAATTTCTGTAGTGTGTACTGTAAATAATTGTGTTTTTATGTTCAACTTGTTAAGCGGCCAATTAGGTAGTAAAAATCCTGTTTAAATAATATAATAAAAAAAAAAAAAAAAACAAAAAATCTAAAAAATTTTATTGAAATATCAATTTTGGGTCATGAAAAAAAAAAACTTTTTTTTTATTAAAGAACTCTCGCAGAACATAAAAATATATTTGCTGTCCTGGCAAATAGACATGAGGTATTTGTGTCTGCATTCAATAAAATAGCTTGACCCACAATCCAAATTGACATTTCATGAGGCATAATTACAGGAAATTTGTAGCCTATTACTGTTAACATTTTCATCATACCACTTCCACATCGAACTAGTTCATTAGAACTGGAACGGAATATCAACCTTCATTGGGTTAGTAGTTGGTTTCAATATGCAATTAGTATACTGGAGCTCTTTGTAAAACACGGGACTCGGCATCTGGGCACCATCCTAGTATATTATAACATAATTAAGGATTGTAGAGAAACGTTATCCGTCTTAACACCAACAAAGTATGACAAGTCCGTTAAATGGAAAAAACCGTGAGGAGCGGCGAATTTGCAGGATAGAGCTATTAATCCACAGGACAGTTCACTTATTGAGTCGCGTTCTATATCGCATTTGCCGCTTCTGTACATTTGGATACTTTAAGTACAATGCGAATACAAACAAATTGTATATACGCCAACATACTAGCTTTATTAAATACTTTAGCTTGGTTGTGAAAATAATTCTGCTACTTTTAGATTATCTCAATTATAGTTATGTGATAGTTAGAATCGAAGCTCATACCATACGGGACTGCTCCCTATGGATTTCCGGATATAATTTTTATCTAGAATGCTTAATTTATACTAATGTTAATTGGCAGTTTCTAAAAATAATTATCTTCCTTCATAGCTGGAAAAATAACGAAACCTGTGTTTCTGTGATCAACAAGTTATTGGAAATACATAAGACTATGATATCATCTTTTAGTTATTCATATTTCACAATAGAATATCATATACTTTTGATTTCTTTTTTCGAATTTGTATTCACTATTATCCAGTTGGGGAATCAAATAATAAGACACCGTCGCTTATTAGTGTTCAAATACCAAATAATATTATTCGAGATAATTTACTGGGCGTACTTTCTATACCAGTTGATCCTAATAGCCTGGCATCGGGTATTACTGAGTGCCATAAAAGCTTGTAAAAATAGAAACCGAGATCGTAAACGACTAATTTATATATATAAAATGTATTTTCGTATATGCGAAGTACACGGCGAGGTTACACAGCTCTGGTTAGGCATATCGGGAGCCCTCTTCGGTTGTATTACCATGTTATCCGCGGATATTTCAGAGGAGCTATATGACCTTATATACCAAGAAAAGAGCACGGCGGAGAAGTGGAAATTCTTCGTTGTTTGGAAAATGGGGAATTGCGTTGCTCCCTTACTAAAAGTTTTCTTGTTGGGCCTCTGTACTAATAGTATTGAGAATCTAACCAAACTTCTAGGTGAACATATTTATATAATCGAACTGCTTAACTGGACTAGATCATATAAGAAAAGCGAACTGGGTCTGAAAAATCCACATGCGAATGTGCTGGATTCTCAGGTAAGCCAATTTATAATTATTCAATCAGATCAGTTAACATTTTTTGTCGCATGCAGTTCAACTGCTTCTGTCTTCAGCAACACACCTGTCCGATCAGAAATCACATATGGCACAGGGGCCAATCTATTAACATTGAATTTCTTTTGCTATTTATATGGATAGCTTTCCTAAATGGAATGTCCAATCTACAATACGCTCTAGCAAGCAAAAGAGCTTGGAATTACTTTTATTAATTTGTTGGGAGCTTTTAAGACAGTTAGGAATATGATAAGCATTTTTAAATCTGGATAGTATGAATTTATATTAAAAAAAAAGGTTTAGATAAGGCCACAATGTACAAATATATCATAATAATATTTATAAGACTAAAATACTTAAAATAAACATACGAAATACAAAATTCAATATGGCTATATGCATTGAAAACTAAAAGTATTTAATATTTCTAACATACGAGATCACTGATAAGTATATGATAAGTATTTAAACGGAAGATATCGGCTATATATCTATTTTTTATCGACGCAATTTATGAAATACACACTATGTTCTTCGCGCCTTCTATAAAAAAGTTCAAGGAAAAATACAGTACAATAATTTGAGCCAATACCCAAATGAAACATATCATTAGGCATAATTATCGAAATTATGTTGCCCATTATTGTCAACATTTCTCCCACTTCGGGACATTTCAGTAGCTCTGAAGGATGATCTTGGGCTCACTCCATCGAAATAAGTTGGCCCCGATGGAACGCCTGGAACGGTTTCTGAACGAAGCAAGCATTCGAGTGTTGAGCAATTCACTTTATTTAAGCTGTCGTCTCGCTGGTCTCGGCTATTTTAAGTACAGCTCGCAGAAGGAAAAGCTGTACACGGACAGTACACATAGATGTCTTGGATGGTTTATTAAAATCTTTTTGTTATGCATGGATAATTATAATTTGCTGGGCTATTGCTTTTGTTTTGTCATTATGGTTGATTCGCCATTGGAAGCACAGCGAGAGGATTTCGATAATTATTTGTTCTTTACGACGTGGCTGATGAATAACTGGATGCTGCTGCATCTTCTTCGGCTAGCGCATAATCGGAAGTACAGTGCAGACTGCCAGCTAACGATCAATGATATAATCAAATTGAATGAAACTGTGCATTCGTGCTTTGGCAGCTGGAGCTTAAGGACGAAACTTGATATACTACTGCTCTTTCATCTGCAATATGCTTTAACCACGCTGCAATTGCGAAAAATTTGGGATCAATATTTTTGCGAGACGTACATCATACTCCTCTTCGAGATCTACTTCTGTGCCTACTTCGTCTATCAGCTGCTGCTGCTGGCTTGGCTGGGAGCTCTGCACAAAAACTTAAGCACTTATTATCTGAACCCTCAACAGGGACACTTTCCCAGCTCTCACTCGCGTCGTCAGCTAATACAGTTCTTTAGCGTATATT